GTGAGTACTGTCACAGAGCCTGGCACATAATAGGCCCATATCAGGTGCTTAATTTTGCTATCTGCTATTGTTGCTTTGCTGGATTAATGTATTCTGTTTATTTCCTCTTCTATGTGTGCCTGGCCTAAGATTAATAAAATCCTACCATTCCCTCAACATAGTGTCCTGTATCTCCTCCCCTTTCTCAGTCCAACTTCTAGAATCTAGATAAAGCTGTTTACACCCTCCTCTCAAATTTTTCTAAACTCTGCATCCTGGCTTCTGATCTCATAATTCAGCTGAAAGTGCTTCCTCCAAAGTTACCCAATGATCTCTTGATTGCCAAATCCAAAGCTTTTTATTCAATACTCATTCTTCTTGACCTGTCTGTAGCATTTGACACAATTGAGCACGCTCTCTCCTGGATGTTTCTCTCTCAGTTCTCCTCCTTCCTATCTGAGCACTCCTTAATTTCTCTTGTTGGATTATCATGCACATCACACTCCTCAACCGTGGCCTTTTCTTTTCTCTCTTGACTCTCACTGGGTGACCTGATTAGCTGACATGGGTTCAATTATCTCTATCCCTGGGAATCTTTTTTTTTGCTTTTTGGTGAGGCAATTGGGGTTAAGTGACTTGCTCAGGGTCACGCAACTAGTAAGTGTCAAGTGTCTGAGGCCTGATTTGAACTCAGGTCCTCCTGACTCCACGGCCAGTGCTCTATCCATTGAGCCACCTAGCTGCCCCATCTTGGAATCATTTTTATGACTCTCAAATCTATTTATCCAGTCAAATTCTCTCTTCTGAGCTCCAGTCTCACATTACCAATTGCCCATTAGATGTTTCTCACTGGATGTTCATTGGGCATCTCAAACTCTGCATGTCCCACCTGAGGCTGAGCTTTTCCCCAGACCAGCCTCCTTCAATACTTCTCTGTTTCTGTAGAGGACATCAGCATTCTTCCAGTATCCCAGGTTCTCAGTCTTGTAGTAATATTCATACTAGTGAGTTCAGCATCAGCTCCTCACTCTTACCTCATACAGCCACTCAATTACCAAATCTTGTCCCATCTACTTCCATAACATCTCTTGAATTCATCCCCTTCTCTCCACTCCATTATCACCCTAGTTCAGAGGCTCTGGTTGTACATTCATTTACTCATACCCCTGACTCACCAGTTTTGGGGGGAGGGGATCAGAATACTCTTTGCTCGCCACTGCCACTTCCAAACTCCCCCTCTGCCACTATAACTCAGCAACTTTTCCTTAATTTTTATCCAAATTTATCACACAATCCAAATTTTAGTGGCCTTTATCAATGAATAACAATAATAGCTAACATTTATATAAAGCTTACTATGTGTCAGGAACTGTGCTAAAAGCTTTACAATTATTATCTCATTTAATCCTTACAACTCTGTGAGGTAGGTGCTATTATAATCCCTATTTTACAGATGAGGAAATTGAGGCAAACTTGACTTGCCCAGGGTCATACAGCTAATAAGTGTTTGGGGTGAAATGTGAACTCGACTTCCTGACTTCAGGCCTCGTACTCTATTCACTGCTCTGCCATATTCTCCTTTCTTCATTAATGAATTCTGTGGCGGCTCACAGTCCCCTCCATCCTACTCCTCATACTGTGGAACTTACTCATACTAGTTTGCCCTCAACTACCCTAATTTCCAAGTTCTTCAATCTACTTAGTTCACATGACCTATTCTCACTGGTGATATTATCAGATCTCGTGAATTCGATTATCCTCTCCAGGCAGATAATTCCCAGTTCTATGTATCCAGCCCTAGTCTCAAGATCTCCTAGGCTATATATAATCTTGTATTAGCAGCTGTCTTTGGGACATCTCAAATTGGATGTCCCAAAGGTATCTCAAGCTCAACACATGCAAAAGAACTCATCTTTTTTTCTCCTAAACCTTCACCCTCTTCTTAACTTTATTTTTTTTTCCAATCAGTAAAAGCTGCCCTGTCTTCCTCTCATCCCATCCCTATCCCCTAACAAAACCCCTGTTGTGGTCAAGTAAAACAAATTTCAGCAGTGGCTAGGTCTTAAAGGAAAATGTATGAATATATATGTCTCTATATATATGCATATATACACGTATATCTGTCCCATTCTGCAACTTTCACCTCTTATCAAGAGCTGTATAGTATGTTTCATCATCAGTCCTCTAGAACTGTTTAGTTGTTACATTGTTCAGAATTCCTAAGTCTTTCAAAGCTGTTTATCTCTATGATATTGTTGTCACTGTACAAACTGTTCTCTTGATTCTAATCACTTCACTACGTATCAGTTCAGGTGACACAGTGAATAAACTACTGCAATAGTGGTTCTGCTGGAGGTCTCTCCCTACTCCAATCCCTTGTCCATTTAGCCACCAAAGTAACCTTCCTAAATTCTTTCCTACTCTGTAAACTCCACTAGCTCCTTATCACCTCCAGGATCAAATACAAAATGCATTCAAAGCCTTTAAAACCTAGCCACATCCTACCTTTCCAGTCCTCTTACACCTTTCTCTTTCCAGCAGTACCTGGCAGCTACTCACTCCAGAATCCAGTGAAACTAAGACTGCCTTCTGTGTTGTTTCCATCCCTCAGCTCCAAGCATTTTCTCTGGCTGTCTCCCAAGCCTGGAAAACACTCAACTCTGACTACTGACTTCCCTGGCTTCTTTTAAATCCCAACTAAAATCCCATCTTTTATAGGAAGCCTTTCACAACCCCTTTCTAATTTCCTATTTATACTGTGTATAGTTTGCTTTGTATATATTCATTTGCATATTGTCTTCCCTCATTAAACTGTAAGCTCCTTTTAGAGCAGGGAATTCTTTTTTTTTGCTTCTTTTTGTATCCTCAGCACAGTGCCTAGAACGTAGTAGGTTCTTATTGATTAATTGATTGAGCTGCTGATCCTGCCGATTGTTCTTTAGGGTTCAGCCTTGCTGACAAATTCTGGTTGGACTTTAGTTCCAAGATCTGAGATCTTACAAAGTTGCAACTTAGTCTGTTCCATTTCCAATAGCCATACACCTAAGAGCAGGAAAGAAAAAAAACAAAGAGGCAAAAGACCAGATACACCATGTTCACAGCACATGTTGACCCAGGATATGTGTGTGTGTTGCCGGGGGAGGGGGTGGTGGTGGGATGGAGATAGGCAGTAGGCAATAGGATGCTGCTTGGATCACTGCTATCACATGGCATCACCTCCATGATGTCATGGTTCCTCTTAAAGAATAAAGGACAAAAAAGAACAACACATCTCACCCTGAACAAAGGCTCACAAAGTAGTCCATGATTTAAGCATCACCAGGAAAGACTGATGGCTATTTGACCACTCAGTGCCTTTTGCCTGTACATTCAGCAGCTCAGCAGTCAACGGAAAGGTGTTTTCTTTACTAGGGGTAAATAGATGGGAAATAATCATAGAATACCTAGGCATTCACTCTGTTCCAGATCTTCACAAACTTCCAGAAACCAGCTCACCAGATCTCTGCATTTGTGTGTGAGTGGACCCTCACTGGCCAGTCCCCTGTCACTTCAGATAGATTTTGTACTTATTTATAGGTATGACTGTTTCCCCAGACGGGCTATAAACTCTTTAAGTGTAGGCTCTATTTCAGTTTTGTTTTCATCACCCTTAGCATGTAGCAAAGTAGGAACTTAATAATGGTTGGCTGTTGATTAATAGTGGATAGAAGGCTTGCCTTGGAAGTAAGATCTGGGTAATTATTCTCCGTCTGACACATACTGTGTGGGATGTAAGGTACCTAACTCTCAATCTAAACAATTCTCTAAAACTCTTAAGTTACAGAGGAATTAGTGAAGAGAGTTCAGCACATAGGTGAAATCACAGCTCCAAGTCAAAAAATTCAGTTCAATTCAATAAACATTTAATAAACACATACTGTGTGCAAGGTAGCATGTTGGAGCTTCAGAGACAAACGAACAAACAAAAATACTCAAACCCAACTAGTCTCTTCAATCAAGAAGCTTAAATTGTGGTAAGGGGGAGGCTATTAAGTACAGGTGAGGGGTGATGAAGAGGTGATAAGGGCTTGAATTGCCTGAGTGGGGAATGAGATGCATATAAAAGAAGAATCCAATAGGCTCAATTTCTTAAAGTGCTTTTTGACAAATTTAGCATATATCAAACATAAAATATGTTGATGTGCTAAGGAACTGAGTGGTAAGTGGGTTAGCCTGTTGTTATCAATTTCAACTGATGAGAGGATGGGTCCTAGTGTAAAATTTGAAGGTACTTAATAAATTAGGAAGTTAGGAGAGGCAGGAGGAAGATTTGGCTTCAAATAATATATAGGATTCCCAAACACGTTTTTTTTTTGTCTATAGGATTATAGGTTAATTCGTAGGCTCAATTTAACAAACATTTATTAAAAATGAAAGCCACCCTATGTACAAAGATAAAATTACACATTTTTATAACTCTTTTAAGAATCATAAGTTGCTTTCCTTGAACACTGTAGGGTAAGTAATGCAAGCAGTAGAAACCACATTTTATAGATGAGGTTAAATGACATTCAGTCACACAGGCCACACAGACACGTCAGATGTCTTACTTGATTCCAAGTCCAATATTCTTTCCATTGTGGAAAATACAAAAGTTGTTCCTGTCAAAGAGTTTGCAAAACCTGAAGGAACAAAACCTGTACAAAATAGCTAACACGAGACAACGTAATGTGTTGAGGGAAGGCACAAAGTTTTATAATGTGAGGAGAGATAATTTTCACCTGGGGCTTGAGGAAGCCTTCTTGGAGGGTAATACCTGAATTGGGCTTCGAAGGGAGTTCAACAGGTGGAGACTTGCGGCCGGGGATGCACGAGGGCGGAGGCGGGTAGGACCGACAGCCCAGTTTGGCAGAAGGAGCAGGAGGGATGTCAACAGGAGAGAAAATGAGGTCACCTGTCTCTTTAAAAATGGCGGCGCCCGGCGTGCCTCTCTTCCCATTGGTTGCGCAAGGCCGAAGGACAGCGGGTAGGAAGAGAGGAGCACGTGGTAGGAAGACTAGAGCCCAGCCTTCTACGGCAAGTCGAAGGCAGCAAGATGGCCGCAGCGGAGGGAGAGAGCGCATTGGGCACGGACCCGGAGATGGACGAGCTTTTGGAAAGTAAGGGCCAGTCTGGGGACACCCAGAGGCCAAAGGGTCCCGGGCGCCGGAGAGCGCAGATGCTGGCGCTGGGCGGGGGCCGTCTTTCTCCTCAGGGTCCGGCACGCTTAGGTCAGGGGTCTGCCGCGAGAAGGGGCTGCCATCCCCCGGCGTGAGGCTGACGAAGTTCTTCGGCAAGCGGAGCTTCTCGTCAGGGTCGGACAGGTGGGCTGGGCAGCTGCGGCAGCCTCCGGAGGCCCCGGGACGTGGCCACAGTGTGCACCCCCCCCCCTCCCCCGCGCTCTGCGCTTCTCGGCGGGTGAAGCCACTCCTCCACTCCTCAGGCCGGCTTCCAGCCCTTTCGTCCTCCTCTCTGCTGGCCTCTTGCAGAATGAGTTGAGAAGCCAAGACCTCGGGGGACCCAGGTTCTGGCGTCCCTCCGCCTTTATCGTCATGGTTGGGGGAGGGGTTGCCTTTAGCGCTGGTAGGGTCATAGATTTTTAAACCGTAGGAGATTGAAGAGATCCTGTAACCGGAACTCAGTTTACAGATGAGGAAACTGAGGCTGAGGCAAGTGACTTAACTTTAGTTAAGCTAGAACTGGAACAAAAGGACTCTCTAAATCCATGCCCTTTTCCCTCCATTGGGAAGCGCTCAGCCAGGCCGTCTGTGCCCTGTGTTGGTCGTGGGCCATCTGCTTGCTTTACCCTCCCACCCTTTGGCAAGCATGAAGTAGTGCAATGGACATTCTAGGGCAGAAGTAAATTCTGCTATGACTGTTGGGCGCGGAGATGTAGGCAAAGTGAAAGATAACGGGTGCTAAGCTGATGAAACTGCACGTAATTTACTGCAAAAATGAGGGCCCCCCAGAGACATTAGAAAAATATTTATCTGATATAAGTTAATTTGGCAAATTACAGGTGAATGGCTCCTCTGTCTACAATCCAAAGGAGCAGGGTTTGCATAAAGATTGGGAGGTGGGGGGGGTAGATGTGGGGTGCCTTCCCTTTCTCCCTTGGTTTCTGCATTTTAGCCAAAGTTATTTATTCAAGAAATTTAGGATGAAAATGATAGTATACTGTTCCTATGAGTTATCTGCGTGAGGTTTAGAGAAAAGCTTGGCTATAGCCTTGGGCACAGGTGCTAAAGGTACTTTCTGAGTAGTGCATACTCCCACACCCCCTCCCTTAGTGATCTTCCTTTGTGTCCTTTTTAAGCTTTGAAGTAGGCTCTCCTATCCCCTGGGTGTTGAATTCCAAAGATCCCTTCGTTTCTATTTAGCTGGGCTGTGAGAGGGAAAAGGGAGTAGGGAATTAAGGAAGAAAGGAAAAATCAGGTAGGTAATCTTAATGACCTTTGCCCTAGTGCCTTCCTGCAGAATTACCCAGCAGACTTTTCCTCCAGCTTTACCCTTCCCTCAAACCCCTCCTCCATCCTCCATACATATATATCTCTTGTTTCTAAAGGTGCGCTTGATGATTTCGATAAAGCCAAACCCTCCCCAGCATCCCCTCCTATCACCACGGCCCCTGATGCTTCAGGTTCCCAGAAGAGATCGCCTGCAGACACAGCTAAAGTACAAAATCTACCTACCCATTAGGGGAGGGTGTGGGGATGGTTGACTAGCTCTTAGCAAAAGTTGGACTAAGTCTCTGTGGGCCAAAGGGGAGGAGAGGAGGGACTTGGCATTTGGCTTTAATACTTCTGGATTGCCTCTGCAGGTTTAAGCCTTTTTGAAATGGATTGGGGGAGGGAGAAAGGGGAAAGGAAAGAAAGCTAGGATAGGTGAAAATTCCTAGGTCTGAAAACATTTTAAAAGAAATCACATGAGACCACTAGCCCAGTGTAGTAGCCAAGTGTCTTTTTTTTTTTTTTTTGCTGTTGCCCTCTAGAGAAGTTAAGAACTTGTGACTGGAGGAACTCGAGTTCAGCTGCCTCTCAATTCTGAAGTTTAGAAGTCTAGGAAAATGCTAACTTGAGTCCCCTACTTATTGTCTATTTACAGGATGCCCTCTTTGCCTCCCAAGAGTTCTTCCAAGAACTGTTTGACAGTGAGCTAGCATGCCAGGCCACTGCAGAGTTTGAGAAGGCTATGAAGGAGCTGGCTGAGGAGGAGCCCCACCTGGTAGAACAGTTCCAGAAACTCTCCGAGGCAGCAGGGAGAGTGGGTGAGCAGTGGGGAGCCCTCGAAGAGTGGTCTTCTTATCTAGCTTCTTAAATGGGGACTTGTATCAAAATGTCCAGCGGTATCAGAGTGCTTTCTTCCCAGGTAGATTGTGGCAGGAGGGAATAAGATTTCTGCTCAGTGAAGTGAGAGAAAAGAGGGATAAAGAAGAGTAGGAAAAAGGGTGTGGGGAGTCCATATATTTAAAAACAGCAAAATTATCTTCAATTATTTATGGAAGATGGTTTGATTTAGCCTTTGTACATTTATAACCATGCAGTTTACCCCGGCAGGATTGTGTTCTTAAGGTTGAAGGGGCTAGGGAGTTCACTTGTGTCTTCTAAACCCCTATGTGTCTACATGGCACCAGTGACTTGAAACACAAAGATCATATTCCCCAGTGACTCTTGCCCTTTCATTTTCCCAGGCAGTGATACAACATCCCAACAAGAGTTTGCTTCCTGCCTGAAGGAAACACTCAGTGGACTAGCAAAGAATGCCACTGACCTTCAGGTGAGGCCATATGGGAAGGTTATGAAGGAACTCCATCTCTTGGAGACTTAGACTAAGAGCATCCTGTTACACTAGAGTTTCTTACTCCAAGGAAAAATAAGCACCTATGTTTTTATCTGAAATATGTATACTGTGTGACTAGTAGCAAATTACATTCCCTCTTTAAACCTTGGGGAGTTATCTCATGATGCTATTTATCGCTATTCACCTTTCTTCTGTCCTTTCCAGAACTCTAGCATGTCTGAAGAGGAGCTGACCAAGGCCATGGAGGGGCTGGGCATGGAAGAAGGGGAAGGAGAAGGCAATATACTCCCCATTATGCAGAGCATTATGCAGAACCTGTTATCTAAGGATGTACTATATCCATCACTAAAAGAAATCACAGAAAAAGTTAGTGAGCCTCTGATGCCCACCCTTCCCCTTCCTAGGTTCATCTCTGCTTCCTTGGCATCATGACTTAATGTGGCTTGATCAAACCCAATATAGATGGTAGTGGCTGGTGTTCATACTTCCTCTGACTTTTCTCCCTTGTCATATTCTACTGCCCAGAAGAAGTGCTGTAGGAGCTCTTGGGCCAAGGGTGCATGTGGTTGGAGGAGATACCAGATTGGTACAAGAATGATTATTCTCTAAGCAGCCTGTTCTCTTTTCATCTAAGTCCAAGTGTCTGTGTCCTCAAGCACTGCTTTAAGTGTCGATCAATACAAAAGAAACAAAATTTCCAACCACAAAATGCTTATAATCTCTTTAAGATGTATGTTTAGGGGAAAAAATGAAATGACACAGTGTAGAGTTAGATGCCTAGAAGTGGTATAAACAGTAAATGCTGGGTAATTTGAAATCTGATTCATTGTTACTCTCCACACCATGTCCCTTGCCCACCTGCCTCATCTTTTGACACAACTCCTGCACTCTTTGCCCAGCCACTTCCCCACCTCTTTTCCTTTTCTGTAGTACCCAGAGTGGTTGCAGAGCCACCGTGAAGCACTGCCCCCAGAACAATTTGAGAAATATCAAGAACAGCACAATGTAATGGGCAAGATTTGTGAACAGTTTGAAAAAGAGACAGCAGCAGACAGTGAGGCCACACAGAAGGCCCGCTTCGAGATGGTGCTAGATCTCATGCAGCAGGTGAGAACCCAATTTGCATCTCCTGTCATTCCCTTTGTTTTTAAGAGCTCCAGTCATGAAGGACAGAAGAGGTTGGGCAGCTTTCCCCTGTGCCTGAGGTATTCCTGTAGAGACATTGCCAGGTGGTGTTAATGAAGGACACCAAAGCCTGTCTCTCCACTAGTAACAATTTGTCCACACCTACATGCTATAATATGATAGTTTACAAGTGAGGAACGGTGAAAGTGAGACACTTTAGAAAGGGATGAGGGACATGAATAGGTGGCAGTTCTGATTCCCCTCTTGGGACTGAGGTATTTGGATTTTCTCAGTTCCCTTATTCATTCTATAACCACTTATTAAGTGTCTGCCAAGTGCCAGGCACTGGGATGTTTTGTTGAACATTATTTTACCAGTTCCTTATCTTTCAGCTTCAGGATTTGGGCCATCCCCCAAAGGAGCTTGCAGGGGAAACAGTAAGTATCTTTTTCCTCTTCTAGGTGGCCATTAGAACCCCACCTTCCAGAATTCTGCTTAAGCAGTGAACTCAGAACAATGAGGGAGTTGTTAATCATAGTGATGGCAAAAGGTTGTAGGTTAGCCTTGGGGAATGAAATGTGGGGAGTCCTGATTTACAATGTGGAAAATTTCTGAAGCTTGTTCCCTCAACTTTTCTTTCTAGCCCCCTGGCTTCAACTTTGACCTTGACACCTTGAATCTGTCGGGCCCTGCAAGTGCCAGTGGAGAGCAGTGTCTAATCATGTGAAATTCTTCACCGTTCCTTTTCCCATCCCCAGCCATGAGTGAACACCTGAAGTCAGCAGAGTCATTAAGGGGCTGGGAGGGGTGGTGATGCTGTGGAGAAATTGCTTGCCTGTCCCATTTGTCTTCTGTCCCCATTCCACTTCCTTCCCCAGCTCTTACTCCAAGACTACTCCACACCAGCACAGGTCCCTCTGTAGCCTTTGAGGCTGTTGTTTCTTTCTGGGAATGGGACCTATTATTCAAATTGCTCTCATCAAGTCTTTTACCCCACCCCCAGTTTTCTGCTGTTAGTGAAAGTACCTCTCTCTCCCTACTTAAGGTCTTTATGGACCATGTCTCCTTGCCTCTCTTCCCCTACCTAACCATAATATTGAGTGTGTACCTGCATTGATGCTTCCTCCTCTGACTCCCAGGGTCTATGTGCCTTGTTCCCTATTCCCTTTTGAGTCTGGGTGCTGTGCCAGCTCTGAGCATGGGGCTAGGGGAAATCCTTGGCTCTGAACACTGATCCTTGGGTATTTGATCCCTCAGGGCAAAAACTTTCATCAGAGAGGAACTGGAGAAGGGACATTTTGCATATCCTGGTGAGAATAGGGTCTTTTCTGGTCTTTGCCAGCCATGTGTCCTTTCCCTTAGGTGTACATATACTGTTGTATCCTCTGAGGACGAGAGGTGTGAGCTCTTGAGTTCTGCTTTCCTAAATTAATAAGATGCCTCTGTTCCTGGTCCAATCTGAGAAGCCAAATGTTATCTTGAATATTCCACAGTGCTGTTTCTTGTATACCCCCCCCCCTTTTTCTCATTCAGGTATGATTCCTAGCAAATATATACACAGAGTTGGGGAGGGGAGAGAGGGTTCTCTCCCTGTTTTGGGGCACTTTTGAGACTTCGATCCCCTCAACATCCTAAACCTTGATTCATGGCAGGGACTTGGGAGAGGGCTGGTAGCTCGTCCTCCCCCAACCCTTCCTAGTCCCCTGTGCCTTGGCTGATGTCTAATAAACATCCTGAGCTAGGCTGTTGGGAGTGTGGCCCATTTCTTGGGTGGCATAAGCTCCTACAGGCTAAGGGTAGAGCAGGGTAAATCCTTATAAAAGCTTGGTTCTGAAACCAGCTGCTCAGAGGCAATGCTCCCCCCCCCTTCCCCAAGTTCAGGCTAAAATATCTGCCTATTTCTTAAAGATTTCAGCAAAAGGTTTTGAGGTTTCTAATTTTTCACTAACATCATTCTGCTTAATATTTCAAATTTATTATTGAATGTTAAATCATTTCTCTTAGCTGCCCTTTCTTCTCCCCAGCCCTAGATCTGAGAGCCATTGATATTGTGGGCCTTTGCTTACCTTATAACGTAAGCACTACACTCGTATCAGCCCCCCCTGGATTAAGTATTATGAAGACAGCTAACATTAAGATGAATTTGGTCTTGGTTTAAAGTCAAATATAGTTCACTAAAATATGAGAATTTTTAGGCACCTCTGAGCTCACCATAGGTAAACAGCATGACATGGTAGCTTAAAAAACAAAACATTTTCTGCTAATTAAATTTACTTAAGTGCCTATTATGTATTAGGCAAATATGAAAATCCCTGCCTTCAGTAAATTAGGGGGTAGGGTGGAGAAGACATAACTTCATTGTTGTCTTTAGTTCTAAGCACCCCTCTTAGGATGTTGACAAATTGGCTCAGGTTTGAGGGAAGATGACCAGGGGCTTAAAATCACATCATTCGAAGGTTAGTAGCTGAGGGTGATAGTGGCAGAAAATGGCTTTGTAAGCCAAAGCCTTCCCTCATCTCCTGTCTGCTTTCCTAGTACTAGCTACATTACCAAGAATCTTGAGGCAGCTGTGCCCATTTTTGTTCCGAAACCCCTTCCCCCAAGACAGTTGATTTGTATTAGGAGTAGACTCATATAGCTCACTGTACAGAAAGCTGTGGCAAACCTGTCTAGTTATTGCCTCTATAGAGCTTTCCTCCCTAATAAAACTTTGCCTGCAGTACATCTGTACTGGGGTGTGGGGGGCGTGTGTGTGCACGCATGCCTGCTTGTGCGCACTAGAGATACTACTGGGGTTAAGACTCATGAGACCTGGGTTTGAATGCTACCTCTCCCACTGTGACCTTGGACAGGTCACTTAATTTCTGGGACTCAGTTTCTTGATCTGTAAAGGGGGGGAGGAGTTGCTTATTAGTCTTCAAAGTTCCTTCTAACTATCAATGACTGAGCATATATAGTAAAGGCATTCAATAAATGCTTGTTAAATCGACTCTAACTTCAATATTCTGCTACCAAAAAAACCCTATACTGTGTTCAGTGCCATGTTTATCACCTACTGTGTGAAGGATATTTTTTTTCTCCTAAACTTAACCTCAAACCTTAGGGGGTTAGACAAGTCAATTTTATAGATACTGCCTTTTTTTTAAATCCAGTTTTTGTTTAGAAAGGTTTTTAGTTGGCTCTTATTTAGTAGCCTTTCTAGTCCCTTAGTCATTTTAGCTGCCCTTCTCTGGAGCAGTCTAATTATACTGTCTTTCCTAAGGGTCCCAAGAAGTTTACTGTGTACTAGGCTGAGACTAGACCAGGAACAGAGGTGAATCCCAGCCAAGAGTTTTTGTTTTCCCAGGTTGAACCACACACCTTTGTAACCCAATCATAGTTAAATATGTAGATTAGGGGATAGGACAGAGGTAGGCTTGCTTATGGCACTAGAAGGAAGTGGTTAAAAAAAAAAGACTTTACTCTGAGAAGCTTGTACATGTGTATTAATATCTGAAGGGAAAAAAAAGTCCTAAGGAATGAAGGGTAGGAAAAGAAAAGCCAGGAATAGTTTGAGGTGTATCCTAGATCTTGGCAGCTTCCTGTAAGAAGAATGTTAGGTGTGCTAGAGATCAAAATGGGCTGAGCTAGGGGGGGAAGATTAAAAAACTACAAAAGGTTTGGGTTGGTTTTTTTAAGGCTATATTGGGAAAACTTGATCAAAGATAGAATGCATAGCTTTCAAACCCCTTTCTTCTATTTTCTCTGCCAAGCAGAATGTTCTTCGGATCTGAAAGGACAGGAACAAATGTGGCTAATGCACTGATATAATAAATATGGAGCTAGTAACAAATTACTTAGATACCTTTTGTGATTTTAGCTGTCTTTGGTTATTTCAACTCACCTGGCCCAGGTTGACTTCAGGTGATTGCTCATCAACTGATCATTCTTAGAGCATGGACAATGAGGGGCAGTGTGGTAGGATTACAAAAGGGCAAATTGCCTAATTTTCACAAAGCAAAACTAAGAACTCTCTAAGTTATAGGCCAATAAGCTTGATTTTAATTCCTAGCAAAGTTCTATGATGTATTAAAAGGATAGTGAGTGAACCTCCAGCAAAGGTAACTGATCACACACAGCTAATATAACTTCATCAAGATCATATACCAGATTTTTAATCTTATTTTTCAATCTGCTTACAAAACTGGTGGATGAGGAAAATGTGGATAATGGCTTGACTGCAGTGAAGTATTTGAAAAACTCTTTCCTGCTGTTCTTACGGAGTGAATTTTGGGAAAGACAACAGTACAATTAGGTGGATCTAAGCTAGCTAAGTGGCAGCCTATCTCAAAGAGTAGTTATTAATGTTAGCCAATGTCAGTTTGGAAGATCAGCAATGTAGTGGCCCAGACATCTCTATGTGACCTTGTGTGGTTTAAGATTTTTAACAGTGACTTGGTGTTTTGAGTCACATCTTACAGGAAGAGAGGGACTCTGGCAGAGCTAAAGAAAGCACATTCCACCACGAGGGAGACATGGAGTAAGGAGGGGAGGGGGGAAGGGCCAGTTTGATTGAATCACAGGGAATCCAGAAGATGGAATAATGTCCTTTGAAGATGCAGACAGGTTGGGAGCAGTTTGTAAGAGACTTTAAAAGCTAAAACATTTTATTCAGGCCAACAGAAGCCACTGGTGTTGACTGAGTAGGGGAGTCACAAGATCAGATCTGCACTGAGGGAAAATTACTTTGGCTGCTTTGTGCAAGATGGGCATGAGGCAGAGAGTACAATTGAGAGGTCTAAACCAAGGTGGCAGCTTTGTGAGTGGAAAAATGAGGTTAGGTGCAAGGGATATTGTGAAAGTACAAACGACAAGATTTGGCAACCAGTTGGATAAGAGGATAAGTGAGAAATCCAGAATAAATTTGAGACAGTGGGAGAGTGGTTATGTCAACAAAAATAAGTTTGGAAGAATGGAGAGTTTAGGGGAAAAGATAATGAATTCAGTGTTAGATATGGTAAATTTAAGATGTCTCCAGGTCTTCTGAATGAAATGTCTAACATCATCCAAATAGGGTTAAGTGTAAAGTTTTATGTATGAATTTAAAAAAAAAATCAACTCAAAACTTTTATAGGTGGTGCTGTTCTCACAATAGATCTCAGTCTTGTGACGTATACAACCAAGCAAAACAAATCACATTGGTTGTCTTAATATGTTCCTCATTCCACATCTATAGCACACCATCTTCTGCCAAGGGATAGAAGTCCTCTGAAGTCATGAAGAGTTAACTTAAAAGAACAAAAAGGATGAGGCAGTGCTAGACAGTAGTTTGTCTGAAAAAGATCTGGGCATTTTTGTGGATCTCAAGCTCCACAAGTATCTACAGTGGTGTAGTAGTCAAGAAAGCTAATGTAATCTTAGACTGTGTGGAGAAAGCTTCCAAGAAGAAGGTGATTCTGGTGCTATCTAGTCCAATAACACCTGGAAATGTAGGCAACACAGGACATCAAAAAGCTGGAGAGAGTGCAGATATTCTTTTTCACTGGAAGAGGTCTTCAAGCAAAGGTTGGTTGGATGACTAAGTATGTTACAGATTTAATTCTTTTTCAAGTATGTGTTGAACTAGGTGGAAACTGAGGTCCTTTTCCTCCCTGAAAGTCTGTTTATATTTTTGTGGGATTGGGAGGTTGTATTTTTGGGTCAAATTTATACCCTTTCCACCATGTCCAAATTTTGTTAAGGCTTCTCTTTCAGGGTTCCAGTTACTTTATAAGATGAAAAGAGACAAAGGGACATCAAAAACACCAGGGTTCAACAAACTTACAAAAAAAAAGATAAAAGCCCAAGACCAAAAGGAAAATTAAAGTTAGGAAATGGGCTCTTTGTACATGATGCAAAATCATCAAGAATTTTTTGTCTCGTGTAGAGCTGAGAGGCTGGACACCAGGTTTCATATTCTCAGCGCCATTCTTAAGTACAATCATTATACCAGAGTTGTAGAACTAAGGAACTGTCACTGGAAGCACTATTTTTTGGGTGTCAAGAAATTTAGTCTGTCAGAATACCCCCAGCCTTTCTGTCAAAGTATGCTCAGCCTCTATGAGAGAATCCCAGTTAAGACACGGTTAAGATTGAGTTAAGATGTCAGAGAGAGACACTAGTTACATAGGCTGAGTCTCACAGTATGTCTGTATCTTGAAACCAGAGTCTGGTCCTCACGTTTGTTGGTTTAGAAGCCAAATTTTATCAGGCTCTGGGAACTAACTTGTTCTTTTTTTTCTTTTTTTGGCAGTTGGGGTTAAGTGACTTGCCCAGGGTCACACAGCTAGTGAGTGTTATGTGTCTGAGGCCAAATTTGAACTCAGGTCCTCCTGACTTCAGGGCTGGTGCTGTATCCACTTCGCCACCTAGCTGCCCCGGGAACTAACTTGTTCTAACCAAACTCATGACACCCATAAATCAATACAATTTACTAATTTATAACAGGAAGGAGACAAAACTGTCCAACCCCTCCCCCCCCATTATTACTAACTTACAGTGTACACTATTTTCTAAAGGGTAAAAGTCCACCTGGGAGACCAAATGATAGGAAGCACAGAATTGGGTAAAAGGGAAAAGCAAGATGTGCTTAAAGGATACTTCTATCAAGTAATAAATTTTGATATCAGCTTAATGAACTGTCCATTCCCATTCCTGGCATATTTATGTCTAGCTAATGTGTACCATGGATTAAAATCAGCATCCTATTGCCCACTTGGTGCTAAAGACAAAAATAGGACACTCCTTTTCACATAATTTTATAGTTGGAAGGTCCTGGGGTGGGGAGTGCATTTAGAATAGCTCTGTACCTGAAGAAGAATCCACTCTGCAGCATCTCGGATAAGTCAGCAAAGAGCATTCAGCTTTTGCTTAAAGAGGAAGCAGCTTGGTACAGTGAAGAGCACTGGCTCTTCTGTCAAAGAAACTTGGATTCAAATCCCATTTCCAAGGTTTACTACCTCTGCAACTTTCGGCAAGCCATTTAAACCACCCTATTTTTTTCTTTTCTTTTTTTTTAGGGAGGCAATTGGGGTTAAGTGACTTGCCCAGAGTCACACAGCTACCGAGTATTATGTGTCTAAGGCCGCATTTGAATTCGGGTCCTCCTGACTCCAGGGCCGGTGCTCTATCCACTGCGCCATCTAGCTGCCCCTAAACCACTCTAGACTTCAGTTTCCTCATTTGTAAAACGGACAGGGAGCTGGACTAGATGGCTAAAGTCCTTGCTAGCTCTACATCTATAATCTTATGACCTTTAGAGAGAGGGAATATACTACCTCTCTGAGGCAGT